TTTAAATGACGTTCTTTGCTACAAGGTTGCACAATAGGTATAAGGTGAGTTTTATGATAAGGAGAGACGAATGAACTTCTTGTGTGTTGAATGAAGAAGTGGTTTCGAGTGACAGTTTGAGTTATGGAGTTCCATTCAGAGCGAAGTGTACAGTGAGTTGAAAAACATCTGGTCTTTGTGATCTTTGTCCACAGGGGGATTTGTGTTGATAAGTAGATAGTCACCTGATATCCATGAAAAGATAGAAATTTAAATGTGTTACGAACGAATAATAGGTATTTTTGAATTATAATAGTTGCAAATTTGAAAAATTTTCGTATTTTCAGTTGTTCGAAATTGGTAGTTGAATTAGATTGGACAATGTTATTTAAAAATTGTGAAACAAGCGATCAAGAATGTGTTCGTAATAAAATTTATTTTACAATTAAATTAAATTGAGATAAACTATCAAAGTTAACGAAAAAGGAGAATTATGTAATTTAAGAGTGTTACTGTAAGGCTGACATTTAATTTTTCTCTGAATATGAAATCTATGAATTCTCACGTAACTCTTCCCTATTAGTTATCTCTTCGAACGAAAATTCGATAAGACTGTAAGTAAATAACGAGTGATCCACAATAACTCATACTCGGAATCAGCCAACAAATTCTCACCATACGCTAATGGGACACGCGGATCAGCGCAACAACCGCGAAACAACCTGTCGAACCGAGTTCCCCAGCAGTCCTCGTGTTTCCACATTCGCAGCGATACGCAGAATCCCCAGCCGGAGCTTGTAACCAGCTAATAGATTGATCAGTAGCACGGATAAAACGATCGCTGCCCGCCAGCCCGTTTATCCGCCGATCTGGCTGGCCGTCCGTCTTTTTGCCCTCGCCGAGCAGCCAATTCGACGAATTCAATAACTCGTTGTCCCGCGTGCTGGAGCGTCGACCCTATCCCCACTCCGCCGCCTAGCTGCCCCTCCATGCTGTCCGTATGGCCAGAGCACGGCCCGCGGCGCAGTCCGATTGGTCGGTGGGTGGAGTAGCCACGCCTACGCGCGTGGCTCGAGCAGCACTAGGCAGACGGGCGGTCGTAAAGCCTGCGTCACGCTCCGGGGAACCGGATCCTCGCAAGAACCTACGAACCGGCTTCGGGGACCAGCCCTCGAGAGTCGAACGGGCCCGGCCCAAGGAAACAGAACGATCGTTTTTTTCCCATCGATTCCACTGCGCTCTCTGAAATCGATCGGCCAGAATTTCCTCGATCCGCTTAATTCAAGTCCATTCAAACTGAGTTTGATCGATTATGAGTATATAGGGTAAGTATGCAATCGTGGAACTAAACATAGAAAAAGTTACATATACAGGGTGGAGTTCGATAAACTTTGTCCACGTGTTCAGCCGTGTTCACAATAAGCCATAAATTCCAACAAATTTGCTTAATTCATTTACTATTAGGCTACTAGATAATCCTCAAATTTCCTTCCATGAAATAATTGTTGGTGAAAAATTAAGAATCTCTTGTTAATTTCAATACGTTTCGTTAATACTATACAGACCGGGTAGGTGCGTGAGCAATTTTCACCAGTGACTGGTCCTTTTTGTCAAGAATTGACAAAAAATGGGTAGGTTAGAAAATTCAATAACTCTGAATAACCTGAAAAGTAAGAAGGTAGAACGTAGAACCAATATAGGAATATAAGTATAGGGTGCGTCATATTATTTATCTATTTCTTTATTTACAATAAAATTAGGTATATAATTCTAATAATAGTAGGGGGAAACCGGGACTTGCTATTATTTTTAAAATGGTTTAAAATATTCCCGCGTCAATGCAGCCACCAATTGACGTCATTTGGATTAGTGCATAACAAGATATGATCCGCGATACATATGTGCCTTTTAAAATTATAATACTTTTTGTGTTTGTGAATGCTCTGATCTTAATTTTCCCCCAATTATAAACTTCATAATTACTGAGTATTTCAGACAGATATTACTTGATTGTGTTTTTTTATTCATAATGCATCGTAATATTTTAATTTAACCTTATTTTTAGACTCCAACGAAATGCCTCGTAATTACAAAAGAACCATAACACGGCAATCTTGGTGCTTCCAGATTGAACGAAGGTTGAGTGCAGTGTATAATTAGCTCTTGCATGGGTGGACCCATGAAAGCTGCACTGGTTGGGGATGTAAAGAATTGGATAAATTCGAATGTTATAAATGTTAAGGACAATATCGGATACTGTATCCAGTTTTACCTAGGCCACAGGAAATTCGCAACTCTTCGTGAAATTGTTATTTTTTGTAAAACTTTTATGTAAGCTATTGCTTAATTTTATAATTTGATTTTATTATTTTTTTTATTATTATTTAAATCTAATCATTTTTTTTTTTTAAATTGAGATTTACAACTTTCTACATAAAAAATAAATCATACTACAATTTTCATACTCATGTGTTCAAACAAACATTTTTATAAAAAGTTAATAATCAGATGTTTATAAATATAACGTTTAATAGATCACGTGGTACAGTTGAAAAAATAGAGTAATTCTTCCTCATATAAAATTTAGTTTTTGAAAGAACGAAATGCAAAATATTTCTGAACACACGTGCTTTTAATTCTTCAATTTTTATTCCTAACAATAAATGTTATCGATATCGTCATAAATACTGATAATATATCTTATAACGACTTAATTAAGTTCCATTTATATTCTTGAAAAAATTATTACAACTGACGTCTTTCTTGTCGCATTTTTTTAAATTATATCTTTAGTGTTTGAGAACTTATGTATGAAAACTTATACATAAGTTTGAAAACTCATACTGTTTAAGGTATTATCATTTCTATTAAAAAAGAAAATTGGTTTGCATCCCCTATAATGAAATATCTAAAAACAATATAGTATAGGATATAAAATGTCAGCAATACCATTGGAGAAGGGTGATAATTGTTGTACAAAAATTTATTTAAGCTTAACATATATCTGAAGTAAGTATGTGTTGTTGTACAAAAAGTACTTTTCCAAAGTAGTTAGAAGTTACAGAACCTACTTTCACAAGGACATACAAAAATACAAAATAATACTATTATTAGTTACATAAATTAGTAAAGACTTACGATACACCTATGCTTCATTCTTTAGAACATTTTTAATATGCAGTGAATGAAATGCAATTTACCAATTTGTTGTATATGCATGTAAAAAATAAAACTTCTGTGGAAATGTAAATTAGATTTCTTTCTTTCGAATACTTTTATTTATCAATAAATAGTTTATTTCAAACATACTGCTAGCTTTCCTTGTCAATTCATAACTCCTTTCATAATTACATTTCATTTTAATGGAATATTCTGTTTTCTAAAGAAAAGACAATATTAAAATCAAATTGTGATATCCTTCGTTTAATCAAAGTAATTAAAATAAGATATTATTTAAACAAAATTTATAATAATGAAAAGCTTATTTTTCATGTAACAAAATGATAATTTATAATTCAGCAAATTTAAATCAAGCATTGATATTGAATACAGTTGTCTCCAATATTAAGAGCATTAAAAATTTGTTTTCTTATGCAAAAAATTTAAAAAATCAACATAAGTACAAAATTTAAATGAAATGTTATTTGAAATTATAAAAGGAGTTTCTTTTATAAGTATATTCTTCTCCAATATTTTTCATAAAAGATCTTAATATATTTAACCTACAAAGAAACCAATTATGATGTGTACATAATAAGTGCAGTTTGTAAATTTTTAATTTAGTCACTTATCACTTAAAAGATAGACAAAACAATCAGCCTTAAAGTAACTTGAATATTCTGTATTCCTTATAATAATCACAAACTTTTAATACTATTTCTAATCGTTTACCTACTTTCTAGAATATAAAATAACATAAAAATAAAGATGCCTTTAAATTATTTTCATAATATGAAAACATCATTACGTATACTTTAGTATTCGTATTTAAAATGCACATTATTCTAAAAAGATTAAATATGTTATTTTTTATATAAAAACCATATCACTTATGATATTTCATTTGCATGATTTAAACAGCATAATTAAGTATTCCATACTTGTTATAACATTTGTAAAATTCACTTTTTCAATTGCTACAATAGTGTAATAGGTTATTGTATCCTTATGATTTGACAATAAGTGCTAAAATAAAAACGTTTAATTCTACTAACAAATAATATTTTAGCTCTTGATTGCAAAAAGAATAATTAAGTAATTGTTTAAAGTAATATTTAAATGCTGAAGAAAGAAGGCGTTTTAACTCAAATCTTATATTTTATTTGAAATATTTGGAGAAAAAAACTTTATGCGTGCTGTGTTTACGAGGTCAGAAAACTGAATAACTTGATTTTCACTTTTTAAATCACTAAGATAATCAATACATATTTTATTTTCAGAATTAAGTAATGTATATATTTACAAATAAAAGATCAGTATGTTACAATAATATAAATTTTTCTGCTTTAATTCTTAAGCGAATAGTTCGCACACTAAGAAACATCGATCTTTACTGAATCCCTAGGCAAATCCAAACAGCATCGACGTTAACGTTGGTTCTATGTGAAATGGCGTACATGCGTCAATGATGAATGGCGTTTCACATAGATCGTAAATAAGTACTTATTGTATCGTACGTATCGTACACCATATCACATATAACTACCACTGTTATGCGCGTGTTTATTCTACAGATTCAGCGATGAGACTGAAAATATACATGATATATGAAAAGATTTTAAATACGATACACCATTTACAGTAATCCAACATTTTATTTATTTGTTTAAATCATTTAAATGATTTATTAATTACTTTTTAGTATTACCACTTGTTCACTATTGAATTATTGAGCAATAGACAGGTACCGCGCCTTTTTAAAATAAAATTTCTAGATGTATGTATGAACTACTGGTGATTTTCGTATTTTTTTGTTGAGCCCTGTGCATGTACTGTGTGTACATACATGCGTATATATTTCTCAGATATTCGATAAAGCCTTTTGTTTACCAATTACTCGGGCAACCAAGGAAATTATAATGAGTGACGATGATCGAGACATCGACATTGAAAGCGATGTAAGTCCTTAAAAGTGCCCTTTCAATGTGTCTTATTAAAGACGTCGTTTTTCAGGAAGGTGATGATTCCGATTCTAGACAGAGGCATTCAAATAATACCCAATATTATTCTCAAGTAAGTTTATTTTTTACTTTCGTTCTGATAGCTTTCCATTTGATACTATTTGTCTATTCGATATTTATTATTTGGCCAACAATACAAACATGATTTACCAGTGGAATATAAAGTTTAAATATGGTTAAGGTTAGGTAGACGCTTTCCATTTAATTTAAACAATAAGGTAGTAAGATACAATATTTCTCTCCTAGATAGTGTATCATTTAATATTTAAAAATAGAATAAAGATATTTGGCTAATACATTGAATGTTATTTCAATTTTAAATTAAATTTAAGACATGTACCTTTAATAATGAAATTAAGTAAATGTTCACAGTATGTGATATCAGAGTATAAATTGAAAATTTTTATGTCATTTACAAGTTATTTAAAATTATATTATAAGGAAGACACATTTTCAGGCAGAAAAACGTGCACATCACAATGCATTGGAACGCAAACGCAGAGATCATATTAAGGATAGTTTCTCAAGCCTTAGAGACTCTGTACCTGCATTACAAGGAGAAAAGGTTGCAAGTAGAGCACAAATCCTCAAAAAAGCTGCTGAGTACATACAATTTATGCGTCGTAAGAATTCCTCACATCAACAGGATATTGATGACCTGAAACGCCAAAATAGTCTCTTGGAGTCCCAAAGTAAATGTTACTTTAACTGAAAACAACATTCAAAAAGTTAACTTGGGTTAAATTTTCTTTAAAAAATTGTGTAAATAACCAACAAACAATCAAAACAAACATTAATTATTTCTGCTTTTCTTTAAATTTGTAGTTTATGTACATTACAGTGCATTTCAATTAAAAAATATTTAAAACAAATAATATAACTAATATTCATTTAGATTTAGGTAAAGTACAAAAAGTATTTTATATTTGCATTAATATGTTAAATATAAAGGACAAGATATAAATTTTAATTTTTATCCCTAAAATTTTTAAACATTTGTAACATCAAAGTTCTCATTGTAAGTTGAAACTAAAACATAATAATTTTTATAGTGCTAGTGCATATAATCATTTAAGTGCTAGACGGCGCGACCGCGCTTCTCCTAGTCACTGCGTGAAAGTGCCAGTTAGTCAGCTTGTAGAGTCGAACTGACTACACGATCCGATTTCGTCGAATCGTTGCGTTTCTTTACTGTTACCGCGGTCACGTCGCTTGGCACTTGTCGACATGAAACTAAAGAAACGCGGCATTTTTCGACCGGATTTTTGTAAAAACCCGTGGCACTTGAACGGTTAAGAATCACCAGTTTAAAATTTTACTATTCCATAGTCAAGCAATGTTTATATTAATTAAAAACTTATTGTTTATAGTTCGGGCACTTGAAAAAGCAAAAATAACAGGCAATTTTGCTGCAGAAACTTGTGAAGTCACAAAATCAGAAGGTGTACCAATGCCAGGGTACAATGACACAGAGTCTGAGTCTTCAGATAGTGAAGCAAGCAGAACAGTGCGTCAATCAAAAAAACTGAAAGTTGGAGGCCATCATCATTGACCAGTGATTTAATCCAATCTTTGTTCTCGTAAAAACTTTTCTTTTCACAACAAAACTTTATATAAATATTTATTTCCAAAAAAGAAGAAGACACTTGCTCACTGAAAAAAAAAAAAACAAAAGAGAAGAGAAGCTTTCAGTGGGGTCTTGATTGTCTAAGAGCCAGTGTACAAAATACAAAATATAGGAAATATTGCTTCATTCAAAGATTAATGAAACAATACATTGTGAATATTTTGGAATAATCTTTTAAAATGTACAATTTATAAATATTTAGAAAATTGGGATTATTTTGTTGATCAAATAATCATTTGATACAAGCTAATATTGTCTTGTCAGATACTTTCGTTTATTTTTGAAATTATTGTATTGATACAATAATTATTCAGTTAAGTTAGTACCTATACAAATTTTGGAACCATTTTGTTAACGTAATTTCAAGTGATTTCCTTAATTATGTAATTTTCTAACAGTTCCAGTTTCAGATATAATTCTTTTTTATTTACTTATAACTGTTAATTTGATTATTTATCATAATTATTGTTTATAGATTTATGAAAATCTGATTTAATTATATTGATGAAAATTTTATAATTATTAGAAGATTAATAAAAAATTGTAAAAAGTATTTAATTATTTAATCACTCTTTAACCTTACAAATGTGTATGTGTGATGGTGAATAAAGATTGGAATGGTGCAATATTTATTTTCATTAAAGCATGTTTTGAATTCAATAAAAATGTTTCTTCTTTTTTGATGTAAGGGAAATCATAAATAAGTGATAAGTACTGTATCAAACTAATTAGTTATAGAATAATATTCCAATTTTTAGCGAAAAATATTATAATCCATACTGTTAAGAAATGTAAAATTTATTTTAAAAAATTTTGTTAGTTTTAGGTGTAAAACTATTAAAACGTGTAGTCACTAAATATTGAATTCATATTTATTCCTCCTTTGCTATTGTATTTTCAAAACAGATCATTTATTTGAAATGTCTTACTTAAACATTTTTTGGAATGTTTGAACTCTTATTAACTTCGAAAATCATTAAATATTCGAAAAGTTGGATGAAACATAAATTTATTAACTGTAAATTTAAAACTTACAGGTTGCATTTTGCGGACTAAAGATTTCACGAGTGCATTTCAAACTTTTTGTTAGTTTATTAATTGTTCCCAGTGAGGTACCATTAATATAAAATTGCTATCTCTATGGAATGTAGGTTTTGGAATTGTATAACAACACAGAAAAGTTTGTAAAAAAAAATAAAATTTGCAGATTGCCATTCGTCGCCAGAAGATATCACAAATGTGTTTCGACTTTAATTATATGTTATATATATTTGAATTAAATGATTTATATTATGGTTAAACGATAAAGGTAAGAGTTTTAAAAGCATTTTGAACGAAATGTGGAAACGTGTGACAACTATTTGATTGTTTGTGGTATCTATATGTCGCCGAGCAATGTACTTTAAGGTAAACATATTTTTCTCAATATTGCTTAAATCGATCGATCATTTTGAAAAACTTATTTTACAGAGAAATGTACAAGAAATCAAATGATATTTCTTCGAATTGATTCGAGGGTAGAAAGCATGAAATCGACATTTAAAACTTCAACATCGATTATTGTTATAGTTGTGATAATAAATGAAATTTTGGGAAGAGTATTCTTCAAATTTAAAATGAACATAAGAATAAAGCAAATGTAAGTTAACGAGAATAAAGAAAAACTATAACGTTCGGTATTTCACAAAGTATTTATATAAGTTTATATATCGTCGCTTATTGCTACGTTGTCTCGGGCGACCGTCTAGTTTGACGGTTGTAATCAGAGTGTTTTTTCGCGCTCTATGCCCGCGTCGCTGCGAAACTGTTGGAGCCTCCTAGTTCAAACTGTCCTAAGAGAGGGCTTAATTTGTGACACCTTCAAGTATCCGTGCGTTTTCTCTTCCTGTGACCCTGGTTGACGAAGACCAGGCCACCACTCCGTCGTCCAAGTCTCGCGTTTCCACAAAACTTTTAATTTATTATTTCACTAACTTTCTTATTGGTAAATATAAATGTATAAGGAATGTACAAAATGTCTTGTAACTGCTGATAGCACCGGGAGAGATATGATTGTAAATGAAAAATGAAATCTAAAATGTAGAATAAAGTATCTTTATTCGAAGTGTAGTTTTAGAGAAAATCTTTTCTGATAAAGGAAAGGTTTTTAATTTACTATGGTAATTTCTGAAAGGACACGAAGGAAACTGATAGAGAGGATAGGTGGAAAAAGGAATGGTTATGGGATTTTCATTGGGTTTCTTAGTGGACTCGTCAGTAAAATGATTTCTTGGAGACCCATGCCTCAAAGGGGGGAGGGGAAATTGAAAACTCAGATCAGAAGTTGTATATATATAAAAGGGAACCTTTATGAGGACTAACGAGAATTCGCGGTTAGTCTGTCCCTCTGGTGGTAGAACGTTGGAGGTGTCGCTACATTCCATTTTATATTTTTATATTTAAAAAAGTACTTTCGTATATATGTATAAATGAATACAAATGTTGTAAATATTTATAATCCAAAATTGTGTAATTTTATAATTCAATAATTGTGTAATTGTGTAACTACAGTATAAATGTAAATAAATTTACTGTATATAACTATGTATACTACCGCTCCTACGTTTTTTTCTTTATTCAAAAATTTACAAAATTTTAATAAGAATTTTTTTCTTTCTTTATAACCCTGTAATTTTCTTAAAAACTTCCAAATTTAAGTTGTTTATTAAAATTTTAAAAATTATAAACGCAATATCGATGCAACGGATACATTATTTTCGCGGCACTCGTTCGATCATAATCTTAACGTATCGTACTACGTAAGTAGTCAGAGTTGTTGTAGGATGATAATGAGATAATGGTGCGAGAAAGAAGCCGGAGCTCAGTTGGACATGCCTGTTCTACGTTGACTTCTGTTCCTTTTGAATTTGTAACAGTTTTGACTGCTGCTATTACAGTGCTTAACACGTTCGTGTTCTATTACTTCATTTTTGCTTTATTTAAAAATGAGGTTATGTTTAACAGTTGTAAAATAAATATAATTAAAAATAATGTACGAAGATTTATATAATATAGTTATAAAGTTGAAGGTTGAACAGTTAAATCAAAAATAAGGATAAAGTTCGTACATATTAACGGTCAAATGACGAAAAATAATTACTACTTTCATTTCTCCTTTATTTCAACAAGATCAGTGTACAACTACAACAAAGTTAAATAATAAGATTCACAAATTAAGAAATGGCAAGATATATTTTGAAAAGTAGAGAAAAATAAGTATCGTAAATTGCGAAATTAACCATCTTAGATCTCAAATTAAAGAAAAAGTACACAATATAAACAAAAAGAACTCTGTTGCACTGCAGAACGACACTGATTACCTAAATTAAGAAGGATATAAAACTTCATCAGTTTTGCATTCTATTAAGTTTAAAACCATACTATCAGATATTGATATTTAGTGTACTTTATTTTTATAACAATTAGAATTATGAAAATATGAAAAATTAAGGGCATAAAAACTATTTGATAGACAATTAATTATAGAAATTATTAAAATA